TACCCTGTCTTCTGTAACATCCTTGTAGACAAGCTGACAGGGTATGGATTAGATAAGTGGGCTGTGAGGTGGATTAAAAACTGTCTGAATGGCCAGGCCCAGAGGGTTGTGATCAGTGGTACAAGGTCCAGTTGGAGGCCAGTCACTAGTGGCATACCCCAGGGGTCAATACTGGGGCCAGTGCTGTTCAACATCTTCATTAATGACCTGGATGACGGGGCAGAGTGCACCCTCGGCAAGTTTGTAGATGATAAAAAAACTGGAAGGAGTGGCTGATAAGCCAGAGGGTTGTGCTGCCGTGGAGAGGGACCTCGACAGGCTGGACAGAGAGGAATCTCATCAAGTGCAACAAAGGGAAATGCAAAGTCCTGCATCTGGGGATATCTGACGGTATCTGCACCTGTACAGGCTGGAGGCCAACTGGCTGGAAAGGAGTTCCGCAGAGAAGACCTTGGGATCTTGGTGGACAACAAGCTGACCATGAGCTAGCAATGCATTCTTGTGGCAAAGGCGGCCAACAACAGCACCCTGGGCCGCATTAGGAAGAGTGTTGCTGGTGGGTGGAGGGAGGTGATCCTTCCCTTCTGCTTGGCACAGGCAAGGCCACATCTGCGGTGCTGTGTGCGGTTCTGGGCTCCCCAGTGCACGAGAGACATGGACTTACTGGAGTGAGTCTGGCACAGGTCCACAAAGATGATGAAGGTTCTGGAGCATCCTCCACATGAGGAGAGGCTGAGAGCTGGGACTGTTCAGCCTGGAGAAGAGAAGGTTCAGGGGAGCCCACCAACCTGTATAAATACCTGATGGGAGGGAGTGAAGAACAGGGAGCCAGAGTCTTCTCAATAGAGCCCAGTGACAGGACAAGAGACAATGGGCACATGAAAGTCAATCTGAACATGAGAAAACTCTTTTTTGCTGTGAAGATAGTCAAACACTGGTACAGGTTGCCCAGAGAGGTTGTGGAGCCTGCATCCTTGGAGATAATAAAAACCTAGCTGGACTGGGTCCTCGGCAACTGGTTCTAGGTGTCTCTGCTTGACCAGGGTGTGGGACAAGTTGATCTGAAGAGGTCCATTCCAACCTAAATGATACTGTGATTCTGTATATTCCTTTCTCCCCCTTCCCTCAATAAACAAGATGAGATCCATGTCATGCTTGACGGTACTGTTGCATGATATGGTTTGTGAAGTATGTTGGAAAACTAAGCTCTGACTCTTATAACTGAACTAATTATCTAAAAATTAATTTCCAGCAAAGCAGTTTGAAAAATTAACTTGTGGAAGAGGTTTTGAAGAGCAAAGGCAGTTTTGCTCTTTCACAGAAATGTAGCTTTTAACTCTGTGATTCTATCCCAGGCTTGTCGAAGTGTTGTTTTCCTGAAGACATTTTTTTAAAATGCAGAATGTTTCCTTCAGAAACAATTTCATTTCCTTACAGGTTTCATCTGTTAAAAAATAATCAGGATGTTTTCTGATGAAGGCTGCTGACTAGAACATCCGTTTCATATCTCAGCAGATGACCTCCCCAAATTAATTGATCCCAGTTCTAATGAAGTGACCTGTTTAAAATAGCTCTCTGCTGGCATGTGTTTTCATGTCTTCGGCCTTTAAACTTTGAAGTGAATGCCTTCATGGGATTTCTAGAAATGATCTGTTGTTTTCCATTCAGATTTTTCTGAAAAATCCTGGTGCTTCAGCCCAGTGTTGGAAATTCATTTTGATTAAAATTATTTTAAATATAAGCACCTTTTTGGTGCTTGTTTGTAACTAGTTCAGTATTTGATTCTTTTGATTCTCAGTGTTAGCACCGAAGCCTAGCTGTGGTGTTCATTCCCAGGCTGAGCTGCGCACAGCTCAATAGCTTTTACATTATGCTCTGACCACACAGGAATGGAGCAAATCACTGCTTTCCTAGTTCAGCTTTGCAATTATATTTTGGGGGGGGGGGGGGGGGGTAGTTTGTCTGTGTCTGATAATTCAGAAAAGCTGCCATTAAAGGATAATCACTCAATCTTTTGCATTCTGCTGAATGCTTACGCATCACTTACTACTAAACTGCATGCTATTTCTGTGGAAAGAAAAAGAATTAAAAACCTAAAAAACAGTAGCTTTCTATTTTGTAGCTGTATGTCCACACACCCTGTGTTGTGCTTACGTGGTTGTTTTTTTTAAAGAAAATATGAGTTAGTTAAAAGAGAAGTGTCTGTTTTCTGTGCTCTCAAAAAGCAATTCAGTAATTACCTAGAACAACTAATGAGAAGAGAGGGAAATACAGAAAGGATATTGCTTACTGAAGATTACTGCTGTTCAGTTGCTGTGACATAAATTGTAAACTGCTACTTAAGTTCTTATTTTCTTGGAAAGAGAAAAGGTGCAGACAACTGATGCCATTCTACATGCACTGAAGGTCACTAGTATGTTGATAACTCTGATAGTAGAGTTGTGGGATTTTTGGTACTCTTGCACATGTTCTTAAAATAGGGGATAGTTAAGATAATTAAAATTACAGTCCTTATTGCAGAATGGTCATTAAACACGCGTGATCCTAATGTTACATTGTACTTACCCTCCCTGATGAGCAAAAAGACTTTCATTTAAAGCAATGCAAACGCTACTTTCCTGAGCACCTAAACTGTTTATAGGGTTGCTTGCCCCCACTGTGCATGTTTTGTTGAGTAGCAACGAGAGGCAGTTGCTATTTTGTTTGTAATACTTTAAAGGCATGGAAAACTAATACCTATTTTAGCAGGTGAGAAAGAAGGATTTCTGTCCCTGGCTGAATGTGCGGTCTTCAGGAGGAAAAGAAAATTCTTAATATATGATTTAGTCTGCAAACTTGTCAATGTGGAATTTGTTTATTTTCTGATGCTGTTAACAGCTAAAGGGTATGCAGCTGTTTTATGTTCACTTGAAAGCATGTTACCCGCTAGCATGTTCTCACTCTCTCACACTTGTGCACACTCACGCACAGTTGTGCCCCCTCCCTCCCTCCTGCCCCCCACCTGGAGAACAGCCCACCAGGATATCCTTTGGGAAGCAGCAGTACCATTCCCCAGTTGGAGCTGTGCGCAGTTAAGCTCACTGATCTCAATGCCATGTGACTAGAAACGCAAGGAGCAGATTGGCATCCGTTGCACGCTCTCCGACTTGTGGGATAGCCAGGAAAAAAAAAAAAAGAGGGGGTGGGAGTGAGGAGGGGAGGTTCCCTTGCTTTTTTTCTAGCACTGTTAATTCCTGCTGGAGCTTGTTTGCGGGCGAGCTTGGTTCATGGCAGTCACAGAACCAGCAGTGCTTATTCGGTAGCTCAGTGCTCTCAATGAGGTCAAGCTGGATCAAAGGGAAACCTTCTGTGGAAGCATCTACTGTAAGTTCTGATACTGCTTTTTCCACGCTCCCTCGAAACAAATCGTAGCCTATACAACTGAGCCAGGCTTCAGTGCTTTATGTCTCCCCGACTGATAATTTGTACGAGGTTGTCAGGTTTTATGTTAATTGAACTTGTCAGTAAGGCATCAGTTGGATAATAATGCTGTGCATTTTGGGACGAAAGGGCTTATCATTCTTTCCTTTTATTTTCTGAGGGAGTGGGAAGAAGAAAGTGTGGCTTTGTCCTTTTGAAAAGCTGCAAGCTGTTGAGGTTATAGCTCACCAGATTCTCTTTTATATAATCTACATATTCTACTTTCTAAATGAAGTAATTGTAAAGTGTCTTTCAAATGTCCTTGGATTTCACCAAATAGCTATTGTTTTGGGAATAGCTACCTAAACATTTCTTTAATTAAAAAAAAAAAAGAGGGAGAGAAAACATCTTGGAAACATCTGTAGTAACTAAATTTCAGAGACACTCTCCTCACACAAGCTGCTGTTCACCTGAGGGGTCTCTAACGTGATCATTCAAAAATATTATCTGAAACCTAATTCTGAATATCAGCTGGTTGTAATGAAACCTTTCAGTTGCAAAGACTTTCACAGTGAGATGAAAAATTTCTCATTTTATGTAACAAACTAGCTCTTTCTGCAGACGTGCTATTTAGAGTGAAGGAATGCTAACTTTTGCAGGTAGTGTTGTCTCATTTACAGCATGGAATCCTTGGAGAATAATGAAACGCTGGGCTGTAAATTTTTCAGCTACATAACCCAACTTTTTTTTTTTTAAGTACAAAAAGCTTACCTGAATACCTATTTGGAAGGCTTGCAGAGTGGTTTCAATGGATTGAACAAAATAACTACCACCTGTTTGGATTGTTGTTAGCAACCCTGAGGAGAAATAAAGTATCACAAATCATTATCCCTTTCTGCTCTAAAGTTCCTTTTGAAGGGCAATGGCATGATGCCTCTCTCTTGATCCTCAGCTTGTATGTCTGGAAACTGGGCAGTATTGGCATTGTTGTGCGGTGAAGTATCGTAGGGTTGCAAATGTCATAAAGACTCATGGCATTGCCTTACCCCTCAAAATCTAATGTCTTTGATTTTTTTTCAAAGGTGTGTACTTTAATTACAGTTGTCTTTTTATCTCCTTCAGTTAATAGTCTTGACTTTCTTAGATATATAACTTGAAAGTTGGATAGAGGAAAGGAAAAAAAAATAGTGTGAAATCAGGTCATGTAACATCTAGGTATGAAGTATGAATATTTGCTGGAGATATTTATGAAACAAACTCTTGAAGACTCATTTTCAACCGCGTACTTCTATTTAATAAATAGAAGACCTGTTGCTTTAATATGCTATGGTTTTTGTCTGGCATCACTGCAATATAAATATGAGAACATAATGTGTAAATTAGCATCTTATACCTACCAGTCTTGTTCTGAGGAGGATAGGTTCAAAATGCATTATGAACGCATTACTGGATTTTTTAAATTTTGAATTTGCGTCTTTTCTTAGTTTTAACAGAGGCTGTCTTTGGTTCCATTGAGACAGCCCCATTTTTAAACATATATAGCGGGGAAAAAACCATACTGTATCTTTTTGTCCAGATGGTGATGTTTCTTTTCATTTCAGCATTCAGCTTCTGAGTTGATCCTAGTTGAAGATGAAATGACAGATACTGAAGATAATGAAGAGGAGGATTTAGGAGTCATGGATGATCAACGTAGTGTAATTCTCCATCTCATCTCTCAGCTTAAACTTGGCATGGACCTAACCAGGGTACGGACACTGTATCTCTTTTATAATTGTTCATTATTTTTAGTTCTTCTCATCCTTCTGTGTGTGTGTATGTGGATGTGCACACATGTGACTCCTGTGAGCATGTTTTGCCCCTGTGGACAAGGAAGCTTGCCTCTGTAAAGGTGCGGTTCCAGAGAACTATGGAGTGCTGTCTCCTGCTAGGCAAGCTTTCACATGAAGTGACCACATCACATATTTTAGGGATGAGGGGATGGAGTGGGGGAAGGAAAAAAAAAGAAGAAGAACCCCCCCCCCCAAACTCTTCCTTATTTTTTTTATAAGTATGTCAAAGCAACCGTATGTTATGTATGTATCCCACATGTATGTTAAGTCAGGGTGCACTGAGTGTTTGAGGAACAATAACGTCAATTGTATAGATGAAGGAGGTATGTACTCAAGTTACTGCTTTGTGGATTGGATTCTATTTAATTACTTGGCAGCTTAAAAACCCCATGAAGGTAAAGAAATTAGTGTGTCACTGTTCTTGTCTGTGCTAAGCAGCTCACCACTTTAACCTTCTGTGCATCCTTCCGGTCTTGGTACCATTATTGTTATGAGCTTATCTATACTGTTATGATCAGGGAAGTTATGGTGTCTGAGAGATTTCCCGTAAGTCCTTAGAGTTTTGGAAGTGAGGTAGATGTTCTGGAAGCATGGAATGCCTCTTTTTGAATAGTCCTACATTCCAGTGAAACCTTCTCATGGGGCTTAATAAATAATCAAATGGATTTTTGTAGAGATACAGAATACCCTTTCCTTCTGGAAAGGTTTTCTACTTAAAAAAACCCAAATAAAATCCCTATAACCCACTTTCCACAACTAAGAAGGGCTCATTCTGACACACCCTCCACAAATAAAAAGTTTGGAATGACCAGAGAATTTCCGTTGTGCATGAAGTAGCTTCGCAGGAGAGTCTTCTCATGGGCATTTTGATATTCTGAAGAGTTCATCTGCTTTCCTTTTGATCTTACATATTAATAAAAATCTTTTTAGTATCGCTTTCTTACAAGGCTTTCTCAATATAGTCTTTTCTGCTTCCTCTGGACCAATTGACAGTATTTAAAAATACTTATATTTTTAAGACTGAGCAATCCTGTGATCTGTTGCTAAGTATAGCTATTGAATAGCTTCACAGAAGTTAATATTCTGTTCTAAATAGATCAAAAGTTTCATAATTTCATTTGTGAATAATTTATACCTGTCACTTCTTAGTATGTCTGGGGTTATGTACAGTTCATTTTTTATTTTGTTTTTCTTATATTCCTCAATTTTTTGTAGCTCTTCCTCTTTTCTGTGTTGGTTTGCTAAGGCTGCCTGAGTCCATAATGTTTAAACTAGACTAAGATCTTATCTGTTGTGTCTTCAAAACATTTTGTCTTTGATAATGAACAAGATTTTTCTTCCCGGATTTCCAGTGTCATCTTTTTGTCATGGCAGCGGAAGCAAAACCCCAAAGAAACACAATTAATGTAAATAAGAGAAAATCCTGTAAATAAGAGAAGTGTAGACACTTATAAGAAAAGTAGAAAGGTAAATATCTATGATAACCTCTTTCTTACACAGTGTCTTAGAGCACAGTTTTTGAGGATAGCGATGAATATTATCAGATCTATAGTATGGCAAAATATTAGCATGCATGAATGTGTGTATATAATATCCACAGTCTCAAAAGAGGAACAGACATATGGCAGATTTAGATCTCTCTCTAGTCTGTGTGATGCACGAATACACATATGATGAGTATTAATGAGACATGCCACATGTGCGCATCACTTTTCTGACCATTTTGAGGATTTAAAAAAAAAAAATTACAAGACAGCTGGCTGCTTTTTTTATTAACTTTGCTTACTGACATGAGGCCCTTAGGGCCACAGATGTGTGACAATAAAGCTTGGTTTGTTGGCTGCACCTCTTCTCATTTTTCATTATTCCTCTGAAAGTCAGATTTCAGGTAGCCTTGATGCTAGTCAGCTTCTGCTGGAAGTGGTTGTGGCACAGTAGTTGCTAATATCAGAGAATGTTTTACATGTTTCCATTTTCCTGTGTCTTCTTCCCTAGGGTTGTTTCTTTGGTTCATTTTCTGAGCAATGGATTGTAACATGATGCACACATGAACAAACAGCTTTTCTGAGCCCTTGGTGGCTTTGGGTTCTGGATGCTTAATCATTGCCTTCATGTACCATATCAGAGGAAACAGCATCATTTCCTTTTCCTATGGCGTGATTGCTTATGTTAGTCTTGGCCTTGCCTGTGCTGACATCAATTTCCCACTGTGATGATAGCCACATTTAATGTTGCAGAGGTGCTTCACTTTTGAAATGTGTCATGCTGCCGTGCCTTTTAATGAGGAGTTAAACGGTAAAAATCTACTGTGAAGAAAAACACACGCAATGAAGTATTAAGTCTGCATGGGGATTTGCTAGAACAGGCTAGACTCTGTGGTAGCCACATAGACTTCAATAGCTGCTAGAGAGAGTTGGGTGGGGGAGCAGTTCACAGCAGCAGAACATAGTACAAAACTGATGCCTTGGACTGGGCTAGGACTTTAAACTTAATTTAAAATTGGAATTGCTAGGGAAAAAATAAGTTTCTAAATTGTTTGTTCTTTGGACTTTTAAAAAATGAAAAATAGCGCCCCAAACCACTGACAGCCTGATAAACTTGTTGGCAAATGGCATCTAATGGAGGGCAATTAATGCTAACAGTTTGTACAGATGGGTGATCACTCCCTTGCATTCCCTCAGCTTCCCTACGCAGTTAATATGTGCTAAAAATAATATGTGCTGCCATTCTGTGTAAAAGGGCTGCCAGTGATTCTGCAGAATATCAACCTGTTGTAAATTAACATTGTAATATGTTCACAATTTCACAAGTTTTTAATTTGCTTGTCAATATACTTTTACCTTGTAATTTTAAAATAAGTGGGATGAACATAGCTTGTTTTATTCCCACAGTGACACAGATGACAGTGGAAAACTTTTGTACCTCTAAAAGAAGGACATCTATGTATGGGGTACCTTGGTCAGATTTCTGAGAAAAAAAAAAAAAAAGGGAATGGTGCTGACACCCATGTTTTGCCTCACAGTAAATAGTAGTGGGGGTAAATATCTCTGTTCTTAAGAAGTCATGCTCTTACTTTTCTCAGCTGCATTCAGATCTAAATAAGTATAGGTGAATTCAAACCTAGGAGATTATGATCAAGCTTTGAACCAATAACCTTTTTTTAACCTCAATGAAAATGGAAGAATGCCTGTTAAATTGCTTCCTTTTCACCTGAAGCCTGAGAAGGAATAAGAACAGAGATTATTCTAACATTTTAGAATGTAATCAGGAGATTTTTTTCTTCAGACTTCAGCAACTTGGTATTTATTCTACAGAGATTCTTTTGTCCATTTGGTTGTCGTGCTGGCTTTTTCTTAGAGGAAAAAAATTAGGCAGTTTTCACTTTTTATGCAATTACAAAAAAGAAAAAAAATTGTTGTAGTCCAATCCAAAACCAATATAAAGAATATAAGTCCTAAGTGTATTTTTCTGGACAATCCATTCACAACAGAAGGGTTGAAAACCTCATTGCTTTGGAAGCTAGAGTACTACCACAAGTGCCTGACAGTCCAACGCTGGCAAGAAGAATGCTGTACACTTCCAAATTTGTTTGTTTCTGTTTTGCTTATTTCTGCAAAAATCAAGGTAGCGCCAATTAAAGAAAAAATTGACTGGTGTGATTTTTCTTTCTTTTTTTTTTTTTTACTATGTTAGTGTGTGGTGGTGTAGCATATCGAAACTTGGAGGCTGTGAGATTATTTAGTAAAAGGCAATATTTTCTAGACATATTTTGTAATACTAGAGTTGTGTAAGCTTTAAAACTCAAATATTTTTCATACGTAGTTCTGCCTCCTTTTGTGGAAAGAATTCAATTATTCTGCATTTTGCAGTGGATCCTTTCCTGCTACAATTAAAGATGTAGTTTCCATTTTAGTTTGCCTTTTAAAGCAAGATCATTTGAGCTGGAGTTCAAGCTTTAGTCAGCTTTTAAATTGATTCTTGAAATGGAATAATAAGGGTCCAGTGGTTCATAACATCTCATTTAGTGGCTGTGTTGGTGTAGCTGTGTTAAGTATGTAGCTGCAAAGCACACAGCTGGTGCTTGAGAGAGTAGATAAGAGGACTGTATGATCAAGTTAACAGGATGAAAACACAGCAGTCTTAATGTTGTACCATAAAATTTGCATCATCTTAAGTATGGTCTGTAGTTTTCTTCTCCTCCATTTGTGCTAATAAAGGTCACTCTTTAGAGAGACACACTTGGACATAACAAGATGCAGAGTGCTGTTTATTCAAATGAGTTTCTTTGCCCTTTCAAGTCTGTGCAGTGCACTCATGATAGTCACTACCAGTATTTCTAGACAGAATGTTTTTCTATGTTTTGCTGTCAGTTTCCCCTTTGATAACCTGATCTTTGAGTGTGCAATTTATATTAAAATGAGATCCTGTATTGAGGGTCAGTAATGCTTAATTGCATTTTTTTAAGATTATATTGGATAATGACTATTTGGTCAGAATAAGAATGCTGCAAGTAAGACGGAATTGTTTAAAGAGCTAAAAATACCTACTAAAAATCTACTGCCTTTCCACTTTGCCTTCCGAAGTTTTAGATTTCACTTTTAAAAACCAGTTTCCTCAGCCCCTCACTATCACACCACCATGGGGACTGTAGGCTGTCTTTAGCACTCAGTAGTTTGCCACGCGTAGTGTAAAATTAAGGTCCTGCATCTTTTGGGGCCTCATTAGGTTGGTAACGGAGACCATGTAGTCCTCCAGGCTTACAAGAGTAGAGTCAGAGGAATATTACGGATGGAACTTTGCTTGATTTGTATCTAAACTTATAAAAATTATTAGCCTATAAAAGACTATATATGTGTAAATAATATACAGGAGGAGAGAGTGAGTGAGCATGTATGTTACCAAATGGAGCGGTTATCTTTTTTTTGCAGTTGTGGTATGTTGACTTCCTGTGTAGCTGTTCAGACTGTGTTTGAGTGGTTGTGACTGGAATTTTTTTCATGTTTACAAGTTTTCTTTGAAAAGAACTAAGTGATTAATAAAAGTTCGACAGCTTCTATTTCATTATCCATGGGATCCAAAAGGTCTGAACTGTGGTTTGGTCCCACTTAGAATAGCAAGCTGGAGCGGCAGGGGGGAAAGCAAATGTGCTTATGATTGAAGGATGGCTCCCTGCCTGCTGTAAATAGCCCTTGGTTTTGGGAAACGGAAAAAGTAAATGCAATGAAGAATTAAAGAGGAAAGCAGAAGAATGCTTTAATAGAGGACAGCTCTTGGTCTGCATCTGGCATCATTCAGCCACTTTGATTCTAGACAATTTGGTGTGTGCCAGAAGTTCTTACTGGCCATGCAGGAGTGACCTTTGAGCCCCCCGGGACAGTCCTGCACAAGGTGTGGAGCGTGGGGGAGAAGGAAGGGAGAGAAATAAATTATTTTAGGTCCTGTAGCCCTTGTCTGTCTTGCAGTGCACTCCAGGATGTTTCACTGAATACTGTTAACAAAGTGTTATTCCTAAGAGGGTGACTTTGGCAACGTCTGTGTTGCTAGATAGGAGCCACTGGAGACTGCATCCAAAGCACTGGGGGCTGGCTCCCTCCAGTGCAGACTGCCTAGTGCTCAGTTCCAGATTTTTTCTGGGCCCCCTGGAGCCTCTCTGGTCCCAGGACAGTAATGTAACACTTTGTGCGGTATTTGTTTGCTTCAGCTTGTCTGAAATAAGGTGAAGGCATGCAGGGGCTCACCACCGTAGTATGGTACGATCTCAAACTGAGGGGACATGCCGTGTGCCTGGGGGTGACAGGAGAGCGTCAGGGTGGCAAGAGATTTGTCTGGGGAGGTGGGAGGGGACATGACACGTACGATGACAGGGGAGGGCAGAGGGAGTCAAACGGGGAGCGTTTTCTTGCCTATAGCCTCTTGGGAAGGGTCCTTGGCATGGTTTTATCCTTGGAAACACACGTGAGATTTGGGTTTGGTTGGATCTACTTGGCTTGGTTTGTTGGAGGCTGGAAGGGACCTAATACGTATGCAGCGGGTGGTGTCAAGGGCCCAGGAGTGAAATTGGGAGCCCAGATGTTTGACAGAACGGGTAGATGTACCCCTTACACTCTCCACCACTTACAGGGTGGTGATGTGTATGATCATATAAAATACTTATCTTCTAGTGGTTTGGGAGGGTGTGCTCCTCCCTTTTAAGAGGGTTATGATTAGTTGGGTTTGTTGATGTTTGATGTAAATTAATTTACATCAAAGTGTGTTTTTATGTCCTGTAAACAAGGAGAACAATGGTTGGTTTGTTAACTGAGAGGAGAAGAAAGGGCAGATTTCCACATCAGCGAACAGCCCATCCCTGTTGTGTGAGCTGCTGTTGAGAATCATCATGAAATAGGAAGCAGCCTGCATGGCTACCAAGGCTGCTGCTTTTTCCTTTGTTTATTATTTACACTGCAAAGAAAATGAAATTGCTGTGGCAGAGCAGGAAAATATGCTGTCCTGAAACTTGGCAGGGCCAGAATTGCAGCTGTCTTAACTGTTCTCCCCCCCTTCTCCCGTGGTAGTATGATCATGGGGAAATCATATCTGCCTTTGTCTGCTTTGCATACAGGTAGTGCTTCCAACATTTATTTTGGAGAAAAGATCCCTGCTGGAGATGTATGCAAATTTCATGGCCCATCCAGACCTGTTTTTGTCAATTGCAGCTGGAGCCACTCCCGAGGAAAGAATTATCTGCTTTGTGGAGTATTATCTAACAGCTTTTCACGAAGGCCGAAAGGGAGCGGTTGCCAAGAAGCCCTATAACCCTATAATTGGTGAAACGTTTCATTGCTCGTGGGATGTGCCTAAAGATAAAGTGAAAGCATTCAGAACTAACGGTGCCTCCACGGTTCCTAAGGACCCAACCAAGGAGTTTGGCCAGGACCAGTCCACGTGCTACAAGCTGAGGTTTGTAGCTGAACAAGTATCCCATCATCCACCGGTATCTTGCTTTTACTGTGAGTGCAAAGAGAAGAAAATGTGTGTGAACGCTCACGTATGGACCAAAAGCAAGTTTATGGGCATGTCAATAGGTGTTTCTATGGTAGGTGAAGGTAAGAAATGTGCTTTTATTTTGTTTTTTTTGAGCTAATGTTGTGGGTGTCAGCACAACAGAAATCCAGATATTTTTCTGCTTGCTCTCCCTCTGACCTTTCATTTGAACCTTGTGGCTATTTGCTTTTGTGAAGTTTGGAATTAAAACTGTAGGGTTCATACAACTTTTTTCTGTCTGGACAGAATGCAAGGCACACATTACGTGTATAAATGTGTGCTTATATTTATGTGAGTCTGTTAACATACAACTGTACTTCAGATACAATTAAGTTGTAGTACCAAATGGCTACTGACAGCATATTCCGTAAGAACATTTTTATTTGTCTTGCTTACTTAAAGTAATATGCAATTTGATATGGGACAGTTTCACAACTGGAACAAAGCAATAGGAAAAAACACATTTTTACTTAAGTCCAACATTCTTTTTTCATAGTTTCTGTAAAGAGTCATGGTTTCTGTAGTGTTTACAAAGTTAGTGTGTTATCTCAAGCTTTATAGAAAGTAATGTAGTCACGGTATAAATTGTGATTTGCTCTATCGTACATATACAGTCTGCCTTGTGATAAGTCATTGCTCTACACAAATACAGGAAATCATAACAAATTCTTAATGGATGATCTGAACTGGTAAACACACCTGTACCAGTGTCCTTACTGACTGCTAATGTATTGATTCAATGTTTCTAAGCAATTTAGTCAGTCCTTTTTGCCATTTGAGGGTAATTTCCTGTGTACGGTTTTTAGTGTTTTATCTTAAAGTAGCTTTTAGACTGTAGTCTCAGAAATACCAGGACAACTTACAGTAAATGCTTCTTTTTGTCATCATTATGTTAAATACTATGATATTAAAGGTAGTAAAAAAGTAGAGTGGGAAATGTAGTGATTTGGTTTTGCTTATTAATAACAGCAAAACAATTATGGTGAAAACATACAGATATGTTCTGCTATTTCTACTAGCTAGAACTAACGAACAAACTCAAACAGTAGAAAGGGCTGCAGTAGCTTCTTTCCTGATGGCAATATATTCCCTTTTTTGTAGAAGAGCCATGAAATTTCCTTACGACTGGATTTTATATTGTCATGATAGTTAAAGTCTGTAATAGCACAGTTGTTTTCTTCTTCCTATGATGTAGGTATTTGGCTTTTAATAAGGAGTTAAGGAACTTGGGAAGGGAGTGTCAGAAGGGAAACTGGTCTTTCTGTCTGTCTCCTGACTGTACTACTGCCAGCCTGAGTCATTGGTTTACCTTGCTGCTTTTTTCCGGTACATATTCATTCCTAGTACTCTTTTTCTCAGTAAAGGATGCTATTTAATGGAAATAAAACTAAACACAAAGTCACTTATGATTGTGTAGGAGTAGGGAAATTTATTTTTCTTGCTGCTAGCGCACACAGTTCCCTGGGATTGGGGGTGTCTACTGTGGGGATTATTTAAGACTTCAAAGTCCTGATGTGTCCCAGTTTTGAGAGAGAAAGGGTCTAGGAATTAACCACTTCCTTATGCCAAATAATGTGTGTTTGTGAGAATAAGTTCTCCCCTGTCCCCCTTTTTTTTCCATGATCCTGGAGATATCCTGGGTGTGGAGACAGGCTTTGGGGAACATCTGCAATGCTGAACTGTTTTATTGCAAGGTTTCCTGCTGTCTTTAGGGGCATTTTGGGAGGAAGTTTGGGTTTACCAATTCGTAGTTACCATTTATCTTTTTTGTTCATGTAAGCAGTGCAAAAGCATGCAGCTTCATGGTGACAGCATTACTGGGAAGTGATGGAGAAACTCCAGTGCAGCCCAAGCATTTCTGTTGCATGTTGAGGACTGGCAATAGGCAGCAAGAAGTTGTACTACTGAAGCTTTCTATCATCTGAAAACAGCCAGCCTAAACCTGACAGCCTCAGTTTAAAATGTTTGCTTTGCAGTGCGGTTTCTTTGCTCAAAACCACGCTTTTTTCAAATTTTTTAAAATATATTTTAGTCCCAGGGAAGTCTTCCTGATTAAGTTGGTGTGTAGATTTGTCAGGCTGTGCAAAAATTAGCATCTACTGCAGACATTTCTTTCTCATGTGCTGCATTAAGTATAAATTCTGTATTAGATTGAGGTCAGGATGAGTACTGGGGAATAGATTGCTGAACCAAAAAAAAGTAGCCGCTGGACTTACAATGTGGAAAAACTATATTTGTATTTACACATCTGGTAATGCAAAGCATAGTAATTTTTTGATTGGAGAATTTTCTTTGTATTTAAGGACATTTTATGCATTGTAACATTTCAAATGGCATGAGTTAGTCTAGCAAAGAGTAGATTGTGGAAAGACACTGTTAGTCAGAAAGTATTTGAAGGTAGTTAAGATAGGTAGAAACTAAAGTTAGCTACTAGGAGAAGCTTTCTGACAACAAGGTTGGCTGGTAAGGTTGTAGAATCTTATTTTAAACTGTTAAAACCAGATTAAGCAAATTTCTCAGGAATGATTGAAGTATGACTGATCCTGCTTTTGATAAGAGACAGAGTGTCATCTCATGAATCGTAGAAATCCCTGGCTTTTGTTTGTTTGTTTTTTTTGCTACTGTGCATTGGATAACCAAACTAATCGTGTTATTGTTGGGTTTTTTTGTATTGTCCCTTCCTCCTCTTTTTTTTCCACTATAAGCATTCAGCCCTTTTTTTTGGCTGTTGCTGGAGTTTACTTACATACATGTGGGTGCCTTTGAGTTTTTGTTTGATCAGTAAGGATTTTACATTCTGCATGATGTTACTTGAAAGGCAGCGTCCTTGATATCTCTAATATACCTGTGTCTGTTCTGAGAGTTGATTTAACTCATTCTGGTGTAAGTATAGTTGTTTCATTATACTGTGCATTCATTCAGTACTATTTGATTTATGTAGGAAAAAAAAGTTCCTTCCAAACAGAGCATTAGAGAGCTGCAATTAGTGTTTTGGATAATTCAGTGGTAGAGAGTGACCATCTTGTTCTAGTTCAGATATTTATCAGAACAGTTTTGTTTGACTTGTAACTTTGTTGTGACCTTAGTGTTGAATACAAACAACTGTGATGTGTTTTGAAACTTTGCTCTCTGCTGAATAGTTTTGTGTGTCTCCTTCAAACAGTTCAATGAAGCTTTTTCTGCTGCAGTTGGCTATATATGCAAATAAAGTAGTACTGAATTTTTGGACCTACATCATGTAAGGAATACGCTGGTAATGTTTCTGTGGTGCTTTTGAAGCATATTTTTTTAACTTGTCACAACGGCCTTAGATGTATAGAGCATGTTGCTTTTTATGCTTTGTTGTTAGAAGCAGCAGTGGATATGCTGAAATAGAATGTCATGGAAGTACAAAGGCTTCTATAAGAATTTAAAGAATGAGGGGATTTGAGGACAGCGTGGTCCTGTCATACAGGAGGTACAGCTCAGTATCTTAATTGTACAATTTTTAGTATATGTTGCACCTCAAAGTAGCTAAGATTTTTTTTTTCCTATCTATGATTTTTGTTTGTTGATTCAAAGTATCAGTTGCTGCGATGCAGAGCCAGTAGGAAAGCACAGCTGGAAATCTGTGTGAGAAGCTGTTTTATATGCTAGCCCTTCATCTGTGGTTATGAGGGGTCTAAATCCGGCTTGCTAATGAAATGTCTTAACTTCTTCTTCGCTATATAACAAAAACCCCATTCTTCAGAGTTGTCAGCATTGAGTTGCCTCGTGAAAAAGCTACCCTGAATAGAAAAGAGGATATTTTCCGTAAAAGAATTCATGTTGCATGTGCAGTCCCTAATTCTGGTTAATGTTAATTATGTACTGATGAGAGAGTGAGGGAGAAGAGAGTGTAATGAATAGGATCCCATTAAGTTTTAAATTAGCAAGGGATGGGAGAGTCAATGTAAATACTTAATGTTTTTTATGTGGTCCAAAGAATCTTCAGATAAGGTTTGTAGGATAAGGATACTTTAGTGGAAAAGGCTGTGGTGAGCACAGCTCACTGTGGGCTGTGTGTGTTCCTTTTCTGCTCTTGAGTTTTGTTCCAAAGCAGCAAAATCCCACAAAAAGTGTCACCTTTGATTCACGGGTTAATTTTTGCAGAGAGCATAAAGTATGTTTAAGTGGGTTGCTCTGTATTATCAAGTGGCTAGTTATGTCTTGTGTTTTCACTCCTGCTATTTTAAATGTTTCAAAAACTAGTGAGGTATAGGCTTCCAAAAATTATGTTTTAAATTGAAATCAACCTTGAAAAGATTTGATAGGTAGGGAAAAGGTTCAGTGCTTTTTACGGGATAAAGCTAAATGAAAGCAATGAATGTTTTTTCCCTTGGTTTTTTCTGTTCAAATATGTGTATGTGTTTATAGATGTACAGGTCTGTAATTTCTATTCCTGAGGCATTAGCAACTTTTTAATTTACCAGTCCCAAAGATTGACTGCTCCATGCAACTAGAGCTACCTAAATATTTCCCTAGTACTAATTTTTATATTAATATTTTTTAGCCCAGTGGTTTCAGAACAGTTTCCGTATGGCATGGCACTCATTACTTAATTTGGCAAATGGCTCCAGTCTTTGGAAAATGAGCAGTGCAGTGCAGCTCACTGGAATGTTTATGAGACAATAAGAGGCTGGTTCTGGCATCTCACGTTTTCCCGTGTGAATCTGCACCATTGGTGATGCACTACACTCGTGTGGGGTTCATCCTATATGTAACTTACTCCTGTCTGCATTATTTGTAACACGGCACAGACAGAGTGAAGAGCCTGTTAATTTAGGAAACTCCCCTAGGCGGTTTGTGTCCCACGTACCATTTGTTGTTCAGATTGATCTCCATACAGTCGGTGGGAAGCATTAAATTTCACATGCCTCTTCTGCAGCTTATTGATCCAGAGCTGCCTCTGGGTATTTTGTCAATATGTGTTACTGGAAAATCAATTCACAAAGCTGCAGCATCAGTGATGGACATGTAATAGTCAAATGGGGAGAATTACATGCTGTGAACATCACTTCCTTTAATGCAGGCTGAGGAATCGTGGAAAGGAGCATGACTGTGAATACGTTGCCTTAGTCAAAAGCAGGAGTAAATGGTCTTGAGGACATTTCAAGGGGGAATTTCAAAATTCTGCACTTGTTTACAAAAAATTCACCCTTCTCTGTGGAATTTTTTCTAATAAACTAGATTACTAAATCCACTGTTCCTCCCAGAGTACTTGTCTGGTGCGTTCTTCCATGCATAATAGCTGCCTATAAATACTTAAGATTTTTTTTAAAGGAATTTGCAGTTCTGAAATAATTCTTTGATGTGAGAGGAGGAAGCATTACTGAAAATGGAAGAATCTATATTTACTTATAGCCATTTTTAAACTAAAAATTAGTAATCCCTTATAGTAGGGAAGCAAGGGAAGAAAAATAGCCTGTGTATTTTCCAGCAGATATTTTTAAAGATCGGTCACAATGTAGTGATACTTATAAGCAGATGTTAAAAGTACACAACACTTTCAAAAAAATAATTGTTAGATTTTAGGTTTTCTCCCTCTAATTTTCAAGATTTAAACTCGGCAGGGTAGAGCATGAATTCAAATTGTGGTAGCAGTTACAAATGTGGACTCAATGTCATTTTGGCTTCTACTTCCCTGAGAGCATGGGTCTCAGTTCAGACATAGTGCTGTAGCTACAGTCTTCATGGTGCTTCAGTTAAACGAGGTTTTGCATGTGGACTCTGCAAATGATGGAATGCAAAACTAACAGTCACATTAGTACTAAAAATAATATCAAGTTGTGGATATTTCAAGTCTTCCCTTTATTCTTTTTTGGATTATAATTAATGAGCTGGAGTCATATTTCAAGTGAGAGAGCACTTCATTAAAAATGTATTTATTCAGATGTTTAAGGAATTCAAAGAATATGCTACCAGGTGCTAAAAATACTACCAAGAGACCTGGGTTCAGTTTTAAACCTCTAACCTGCTGTGGTGGTTAAATATTTACATTGAAGGTCACTGCTGTTATTTGCTGTTCACTTTTCAGTGTGCTTGGCAGCATTCATTAGAGGTCTGCATCCCTCCCACTCGAGTATGGAGGAAAAAAGCTATTGATCCCATCAGAGACACAAAAGCAAACCTATACTAACCCAGAAGGAAATTGTGTTTATCATGGCAGTTTCTTCTCATGTGGGGACATGCAGTGACGGTCAGAGGAGGATGGCTGGGCCTGGGGAAGTAGGAGGCTCTGGAGAAGCTCACATGAAGGTTTGGTTCATAAATACAGTGATGTTCTCTCACAGTAGTGAGCATCACACCTGCCCACTGTACTGCTATTAGACCTTTTGTGTCTTAACCCCCTCCCCCCCCCGCCAACCTGACAACAGAACCCTCAAAACTGTCATGTTGGAAGCTGATGCTTTCAGGCGGACTGTGCTTTTTGACTGTGTGAGGATTGTGTCTATGCTTAGACCATTAAGACTGAGGAAACGTGACCTCATGGGTAGCACCACAGGCCATTTAGAGCAGCTGGTTGCTGCTACATGTCTGTTGTCCGTGACTGTAATGAAGAAGGTGGAGAATAAATGGGAAGAGGAGGAGAAGGGAAAGCTGACAGACTTGAGTCTAAAACCTGTTGTAGTCCTCTGTGTGGAAAATGCCCAACTGCAGGCTGTGAGATTTCCTTTCTGTGTTTAATCAGTACCCATTAGCTTTCGTTGATCCTTTTTGAGTATCATCATCTAGTTAAAAGGCTTCTTGATTGTTCTGTATTAATTTCACATTATTACAGCATCCATTTAATGCGTTTGATAAGCAGAGTTGTCTTTCTGAGTACGAGTTCTTCCTGGTTGCGTGTCCTGGGTGAGTGGGTAGTGCAGCCTTCCTGCAGTGTGTTCAGCTTGGTTTTACCTGCAGGTATGGAGCCGAGGAAGCTTGAGGCAAAACGTTGAGTGTGTTCCAACTGTGTCCTGGCTGTTCCCTGCTGGTGCGGGTTCAGCAGATTACACGAGGAACTTGTGACTTGCCGAGGCAAAATGATGAAAGGTCCTTTTAAGACGTTGCTTTTCTGTGTTTGTGTTTTTTGCACTCTCCAGCTCATTTGTGTCAAACTTGCTGGAGTAGAAGTGCTGGCTGTGTTGTTGCCAGCAGGCTGAGGTTGCAGAAGTCCTGGGAACAACTGCATAAAACTATTCTGTTTTGCAAAAGATGTTTTCCTGTGGAACAGTTTCAGAAGGCAGAAGTGACAAGGTGCAGAACTTCCTGTGCCTGTGTTTAGTTCTATTAATTGGAGCCAGTATTTAAGATGATGATTCTTGTTAGAGCTCTGTGCTTTTAAATTTTGTATCTTTTTTTAGGTTTGTGTTTTTGTACAGCAGTAAGGGCATATTTTTATATTGGCAGTAGTAATGCCTTGTTCCTATTTAGTGCTTTTTCATCATTGCATGCCCGATCACTTTGCAAAATTAGTGTCATTATTCCCTTAAACAGATAGATGAACTAATCAATACCATTACCAATGTGTTCTTCCCCTATCTGCCCCAGGGTGAAGGCAAATTGACTCAAGCTCATCTTGTTTCTAAATAGATATGTCAAGATCATTTTCCTGATTTTTTTTCAAATATTTCTGGGTTCTAAGTGCTTCCTGTGATGGGTTATTTTCAATCCCTGTTGTGAAAAATTATTTCAAAGCTGTAATTTTTGCCTTTAGGCAGTTATTAATGGGACACAAAAGACTAAAACTCTAATCAAATATATATTACAGGTATTTGGCATGATCTAATTCTGTGTGCAAGGTTTAAGGTACTCTTTACCTGGTCTTATGTCTGTTCTTTGTCATCCTGAAGACCAAACTACAGCTATGGTGGGGGTAGAGCTGTATCCTTAACCCAAGGGGAACCTAAGATCTGATCAGACATGCAACTTCCTTTGTAGTTACAAATAATCTTGAAAAATTACTGCTGCTGCATGTTGTTGTTTTTAGTTACAGCCCCATAATGCTTAGGTTAGATGTCATGGTTTAACCCCAGCTGGCAACTAAGACCCACACAGCTGCTCTCTCACTCCCCTCCAGTTTGGCTGGGGGAGAGAATTGGAAGAGTAAAAGTGAGGAAACTCATGGGTTGAGGTAAAGACAGTTTAATAAGTAAAGCAAAAGCCGCGTACACAAGCAAAGCAGAACGAGGAATCCATTCACCGCTTCCCACCGGCAGGCAGGTGTTCGGCCATCTCCAGGAAAGCAGGGCTCCATCACGCCTAACCGTGACTTGGGAAGACAAAGGCCATCACTCCGAACGTCCCCCCTTCCTTCTTCTTCCCCCAGCTTTTTATTGCTGAGCACGATATCATATGGTCTGGAATATCCCTGTGGTCAGTTGGGATCGCCTGTCCCAGCTGTGTCCCCTCCCAGCTTCTTGTGCCCCCCCCCCCCCGCCCCCCCGCGGGGGGGGTGGGGTGAGGAGCAGAAAAGGCCTTGGCTCTGTGTGAGCCCTGCTCAGCAGCAACGAAAACATCCCTGTGTTATCAACACTGTTTTCAGCACAAATCCAAAACACAGCCCCATACTAGCTACTGTGAAGAAAGTTAACTGTATCCCAGCCAAAACCAGCATAGTGGAGGAACGTTTACTGAATGAAATGGAATTGCCAGTAATTTTCTGTGCATGGTAGAGACATTGGTCTTGGTGGTAGCAGAGCAGTGGCCCTCGTGGCCCCTTGTTGATTATGCAAGACTTTTGCAAAGGCTGTGTGGGAAACCAGGCATTTGGAAATGAAGGAGCAAACTTAGAGGAAATTTCTGGATGGCTTCCTTAAGCATGTTTCCTAGTTGCACCCAGGCAGACCTAGGGAGAGCCTTTCACTCCCACCAACAAACGCTTCGGTAAGAAATTAGCAGAGAGGACCTGGTCATGTCTCATTGAATGGAGAACTGAGGGGTCCTTTCGCCATGCCCATATTTTTTCTACAGAGAGATTGTGATATGACACTGAGTGAGCATCTGAATATTCACTGGCTTTTTGCAAGCAATCTTTTTTTTTCCAGTTTAACAGTTTATTGCTTGTCAGTAACACAAAATAAGTAATCCAGTCAGATTTTCTAATAAGCCGTTTGGTACCATGAAGGACCCCAGGGTACACATTCAAATTGTATGCTTTTGAAAATGTTTCTTTGAAGAAATTTGTTCCGGGGGCAGACTATTTTTCTTAGCAGACAGCACCCTCCGTCAAGGCGAGTTGCACGTTGTGCTCTCTGTGGAAGTACATTCTGATGACAGTAATTGGTTAGTGACTGCCAGGTCTTATCGGTGAACTTTTATCATTTCACTTTCAACCTTCTTCCTATGTAGGTGTTCTTTACTTGATGGAACATGAAGAAGAGTATGTTTTCACCCTGCCCAGTGCCTATGCTCGCTCGATACTTACCATCCCATGGGTGGAGCTTGGAGGGAAAGTCAACATCAGTTGTGCCAGAACAGGCTATTCTGCTACGGTCACATTCCATACCAAGCCATTCTACGGAGGAAAGGTCCACAGGTAGGGAATTACTGTCTTATTCTTGTTTACCTGCTACTGGATTTCAATGGAAAGACTCTTGGGCATCTGTTCGGTTCTTCTGCTGGATTATTTTATAGACAGATATCTGAATTTATTTTCCTATTAGTGTCTGAGATGACTTACGGCTTTAGAGCACAGTTTATTGTAATTATACACTTTATATTGTTTAACTGAATTGGATATATTTCTCTCATTAAACTGAAGTGAATATATTCTTCCAGCCTTTGTTGCTTGTAAAAATTGCTCTAAGTGCAGGATCAGAAAAATGTACACAGAAAAGGCAATATTTCTGCTACACCAGCTGCTGCTTCTGTGTGAGTCTTGTAGATGAACTGGCGTTCCAGGTGGAGCTCCTGTAAGGAGGAGAGAAGCAAAAGTGTCACTGCCCATAGTGGTAGCTCCCTACTGGGGACTCCCACTTCTGCACTGAAATTTCCAGATGATGAAAATACTATTTATGTGCCTTTGGTTCCCCTTTATTAAGGGTGTGAAGAGGCACTGTGCAAGATAGCTTCCTGTTTTACTTCCGTGCTCAAGTTGATGGCCCAGTCATTAACGTACACAGACCCTTTTCTTGTTCTGCTGCCAACTGTAGCAGTGTCCATGAGAAGACTGTGCTTTTGCATGGTTACCTCTTTTTTATTTCAGTTGGTCTAATTATTCTTCCATATGTGTGTCAACTGTCTCAATATTGTGTTCAGGCAAATACCAACATGGGCTCTTTTGACAGTTTTTTTTTTCTGAAAGATGTAGATTATTAACTGGTGTCATTAGGGAAAATTGGGGAAGGCTGTGCTGTATTAGTTTAATAATTTAAAAACCTATATGAGTTTACAGATTAGTTGACATGGCTTGGTGAAGCACATGTGTGCATGTTCATAGAGACACACACACACACGCATGAAACTTCTCCCTGCATTTTGGTTTTCCAGTCCTATCTATCTATTTTGCTGACTCTCAGACCAGTTCTTGGACCACTGAGGTAGCTTTAGTCATTGCCTCTCAGCAGCTGAGAAAGGAAGTAGCAGAGCTAAGGAAGAAAATAAAGGTACCTGAAGTCTTTGACATAGGTATCTGACAGTATTATGTTCAGGTGTGAAAATACCATGTACTGAAAATGTCACATGAATGTCAGGAGTTGTTTTTCAGGCTGATGAGGTAAACAGTTCTGGGTTAGAGCTGAGTATCAGAGTTTTTTAAGTTGGGTTACTGCTGTACTTTGGGAGAATGTTGTCCAAAAGCTATTGCTGTATTAGCAGAGTTTTCTCGGGCTGAGTCTGTCTTTTTGGAGACAGTGTCAATACATTGCTTGAAAAATTACTTTGTAGATGTAGAAAGCTGCTTGTAGCCTTAGCTGTGGTAATGCTTTCATATGGTCATAATAAATGGTACCAGCTATTTCTGTGGTCTTTTTTTCTTCCCTCTTGAATTAGGGTTACAGCTGAAGTGAAACACAATCCCACTAACACCATTGTATGCAAGGCACAGGGAGAATGGAACGGTACTCTGGAATTTACTTACAGCAATGGAGAAACCAAAGTGATTGACACTAACAAACTGCCTGTTATCAGGAAAAAGATTAGGCCGATAGCAAAGCAAGGCCCACTGGAATCAAGGTAAGGGCAGAGGCGTTACAGTATTCTGCCTCTGAACCTCGGATGGGAACAGAACAGGGAAGCAGACTGCAGTTATGAATGGTGTGGTTCAAAAACACCTCACTTCCTACAGCACGTTAATGTAGGCACAAATAGTTGGAGCTGTGTATTGGTTCTTTGAAACATAAATTATAGTGACGTATACATCAATTTTCTAGAGGGGGAAAATGCTTGTATGCGTTCTAATGAGCATTTGGAAAATGGTAATGCAGTGTTTTCACCTGCTTTTCTTAGTGATTTTAAAATGGTAGTCAAATTAATTTGTCGCAAGTAATGTTGCATCTTATAATTTACACTGGAATTTCACGTTTTATATATTTTAGAATATATATATGTAAAATGTGATGCAATATGAGATATAAATACACACACAGACACACGTGATTTTAAGGCTCTCAGCACCCATGTCATGTGCCTAATTCTGACTAGGTACATTAGAAAAAAAACTTGTTCTGTTATTCACTGTCAATAACTGTTGACGCTTATCTTCAGAAAAATCAATATTTTTATTGAATTTAGGAACATTTTCTTGGAGGATTTAAAAACAGGCTTCATTTTATTATCTGTAAATAGTACAAAGGTGTGTCTTGAATCATTGTGCAGGGTCAGATACCATTTTCCTACTTTCTAGACATGCTTGCTTATCACAAACTCATTTTCCCCCTATAGTTTTGGAACAGAAAGGTAGGGGTAAATAAGGAAACCAGTAGCTCTGCAGTGTATTTATTATATTTCTTAGGTATTAGTAAGCAAATTACAACTCTCCAGTGTTTCTGCAGGATATGCAGTTTATCAGATTGTAAACAGAAACTCATTTAAACACCCCTGGAAGTATGTGCAGGCTGCAGTTGGTTTCTTCTGAGTATTTTTCTGAGCAAAGTTTCTGCTAGGCTAATAAAGTGTCAGAAGGCTTCGTATCTGAATGCAGTCAGTAGTGTGAAAAACAAGTTTGGTTATATACTGATAATTATTGTTAACTGGGAATATAGAGCACAGACCTAGAAGGGCTCCTAGAATCAGTGCATTAATTCCTCTGTTAGTAACCTGGTGGGAAGAGTCAGTGTCCCAATTTAATGTACAATTGGCTCTTGGCTAACATTCATTTATAATTCAAAAATTTAACTGCAAATGAATGTGTATCATTTGGGTGTGGATCATCAGTAAAGAATGTGAACAGGAAATGATAAAAATAAATCCATCTGCTTTGAGAAGAAAGCTTAGGTTTTGAAGAGTCAGGAACAGGAACAAAAGCTATTGAGAAAGTTAACTTGCATGGCAAAATACTGGGAGTTGAGCAAATCTGAAAATCTGGTCCACAAATGCAATGAATATCCTGGTTCACAAGCTGCGTGACTTGCAGAAATGGCATGGAGAACATGGCATCAGTCTGCCTCTCACCATACTGTTGTCTAGCCAGGCACTCGGCCACGGCAGAAGTGTTCTCACTGTCACTTGTGCTCCTCCTCCATCACGCAGGCACCTTTGGCAACATGTCACCAATTCTCTGAAAGAAGGTAATATTGATGCAGCAACAGAACACAAGCACCGCCTTGAAGAGAGACAGCGAGCAGAAGAGAGGCAACGTGTGGCTCTTACAATGCCGTGGAAACCAAAATATTTTGCCAAAGAGGTACTTTCATTGTCATATTTTAAAGACCCTATAGCATGTTTCTGCATACAGGAGGATGCTAGTACAAATGAATTTGTCTGTGGTTTTTACCATGGGCTAGTGTTGTTACATACCACTGAGTGTTTTAAATTCTATTTTTGCCAGAGTTTGGCTCTTAAAGAAGAGCAATGGATTTTTCTATCTCCATATTGTAAACTTGTTCACTTTCCTTCAGTTAGATTTATTTTAACCTGAATTTTTGGTACCTCATGTTAGGCACTTAAAGCTATGTGTTTTATCTTAAAATCCACACCTTAATTTGCAAATGCTATGTACTTACATCCCCTACTAATCTTAATCCCAGCATACTAAAGTGAACGTGATCTAGGGATATTTGTCCAATGTAAGTAAGCATGGACATCTTAAACAGAGTCTTGGGTTTCATCTGCTTGAAATGAAACAGATTTTACTAAGTTTGTCTTTGCCCTTTCTTAAAGGGGGAAGGGAAATAAGACTGACTGAGGGAATTATTATGTGACTGTGTTGTTATGTTAGCCAGTATGTGCAGCTATTTAAACCAGCAGTTCATCTGTTGCATGTTCCCATTGCTTCTCTTCCGCCTTGTAATTTTTTCCCTCCCGCCCAGATTACCTGTAAATTCATCAAGCACAGCATTTCAGATGACAGGGATGGTTTCTTGTGTTGATTAGTGTTACTTCAGCTTTTATGTGGACATACACAGATCCAGTATGTGGAAGTCTTGTTTGTAAACTCTCCCCTAATTTTCTTGCAGGGTGATGGTTGGCTATACTTGAATCCTCTCTGGAAGACTCACTGACGGGACAGAGCAGTTGCCTCATAACTTTACCTTAAAGGCATTAAAATGATACAGTATATAACTTCAAGATGTCATTAATAGGTCCTGTTATCAGAAGATACAAATGAGAAGCTATATACTGTGAATGATGCATCTCAAAATAACCACAAGCTCAAGTTTATTCAGGAGCCATTTTGTGTGTATGGATACACAAACACACACGCACACGTCCATATATACACACATATATACACGCAGTGTGTATGTGTTTGTGTGTGTATTATTTACACTACATGTAAACAAGTATAAACACTAACAGTGATTTAAAGACCTTTTCCTCTAAGTGTTAGGGCATAGAACTCTGGCTGGACTCAGCTGGGGTTCCCCGAGTTGTGTGCTTGCAGGATCAGGCCCTTTGCTAGTATTTAAGAAAATACTTTTTTATTAGTACCGGTTAAGGTTTTTCTATTTTTCACTTTTGCCAAAAATGTTTTGCACTTCAAATGTGATGTGTCACTTAATGGCAGTCATTCTGTCTAAACAGTCATTGAGTAACTCACTTTGACATAAGAATGATATACTGACAGCGTGCTCGCTCTTCAGGATGCTAATTTAAGAGCATGTTTCCTGTCACTTATAAGATGGCAGACAATTCCCACTCATAAGAAGTAGCAATACCTTCTCAAGAAGATTGTTCGCACTAACCCGTTGTGTCCTCACTTTTTGTTTGTTCATACTTGCAGCTGTTTAATAGATCTCTGGTCACCAGTGAGCCAGCTGCTCTGGCAATTTTGATCTTGCTGTGTCACGTTCTCTGGCTACTGTCATGCCAATGCTTTTGGGTTACGTGTTCCGCTAAATCCCTTCTGGCAGGTGTAGCTGTGGCGGTCCAGCTCACTCTTGCCTCAGCTTTCCACCCCGATGTAAGCGAGGCCCGGCCTGGCCGTTGGGCTGTGTCACAGCCTTGCCTTCCAAGTTAAACCACTGCTGATGCGTTCCTGCTGAAATAAATGCCAGGCTGTGCATTGAGGCGGGTCAGGCTGTGTAGGAGTCCTGTCCTGGTGTGCCGCTGCGACGGGTATCAGCCTTTCCCACCCGCCGGGAGGCGGGTTCTGAACACTGCTCTGGGAAAGGAGACGGAGCTTGTCTGGTCAGAGCCCTTAATTCCATATTAAGGCTCCAAGCAGACCTGTATTTTGATTTCTTTTGCTTTTGACCCAGTTGATTGCTTCTGGATGTGAAATACTTGGATGAATAGAGACGATATAACTAGCCTTCTCAGATGAATGATTTTCTGATGTAAAAGTAACAATTTAGTAAATTATTACACTGAGACAATAACTTCATTAATGAAACAAACAAAATGGGATATAATTTGTTTTGTAAAGTAAAAAAAAGTAAGTAAACAATCCTGTAGCTTGATCTTGCTTTGTCATGTAACCACTGTGACATTAAGAAGGTGGATTCTAAAAGCGTGTTAAGGCTTTGTTGCCTTTTAGTTCATATTTGTTGAAAGTGAAGATGTTTTTTGAGAGAAGTGGCAACAAAAGGCAAACGTAAAATGTGCTGACTGCTGCTCAGTGCTTCTTTCTACAGTGCCCTGTAAAGAAACCACTATATTTCTAACATACAGTAGCATGGATGCCTACCTTTCTGTAGTACTGATTAATTTTGTGCCTTTTGTCTGCTTTCTTAATACAGTAACTTAGGCTTTATAGATACTACACAAATATATTTAGGTCAAAGCGCTGCGCTTATATCTGTTCTTGTGCGTCCTGCATTTTATAATTATTTTTTTGGCAGATGTTAAAATATCTGGAGCAACTCAGAAGGCTAAATGGAGGTGTGTACACAAGGAAACATGCCAGTAGTTGTTCATTTGGACATAATATTTAATAGATCTTTACGTTTGAACTTCAGATCCCTATTTAATGAAGGTGTGGCTCCTTTTTTCCTCCTAAATGCTATTTTGTCTGCTTGTGTGTCCTTTTTTTGCACATTAGAAAGATTCATGTATACATGATTTAAATCCTATTTTTAAAAAAAAAAAAGTGGAGTGTATGAGCTTGGTTTTGTAACTGACACTTTTTTTTTTAAAGGAAAAAAAAGTCTTATTTTTAGGAATAGTTCACATTTTTCTGTAACAAAACCAAAATGATGCTGTCATAGTAATCACCAAACTACTACCAAGTATCATCAGGAAAATGTCTTTATCACCTGCAAGAATTAACTTTATAATGGATCCACTCTCATTCTAGAGGTTAGTCTGATAAGTAACTAGAAGTATTCATACAGTTTATAATATCATCACAAAGAAAAATCGAAAATACAGAATTAAACACATGGAATATCCTCCCAGAACTCTTGACTTTCACGCACCAAAGAACAAGCCACATACATACTCGCTAAAAATAGCCATTGAAAACCTCTCTCTGTCAGGCATACAGGCCCGCCCTCCTGAAAGAGTAGACCTCTTTCAGCTTTGATGGTATGACTGTCGAGGCTACAAAGATGCTGTAGCCATTCTTTTAAGGAGAAGTTTGAATAATTTTATGCTTGTAATTTATTGAAGATTTTTTCTGTCTGCATGGTTGGTTGTTTCTGCATGCCGAGAACATTCCACTTGTGCTCTGACAAATGTTTTGTTTTGTTCTGATGCTGTGAATAATCCCCTGATATCTTTACCACTGTTTCTCTTCCAAAGTAACATGGGAGAGGCGAACATAAAAATAATCCTTTCTGAAAAGATGCCATCAGCGAGAGATTCCAGAACAAGATTCACAAGTGTCATTTTATTTTTCTGATAGTTATGTGTTCAGTATATTTTACAGGGCTGAAAAGTAAATATTCATAAACCTTATTCTGTAGGTTGTTCCAGTAGCTGTCTTGGATTTGCAAGTAAATATTTTCCTTTTCAAGTAGCAAATGTACACTCTGAATTGTAATGTAAAAACCTCCATGTAGTTCAATTTTTTTTGTGCACACCTGTAGAAAGCCTATGCAACCTTTTTCTTTCTTAAATTAGAGATGTTCAGAAAGAAAATTTATACCTTTATCATTTAAAAGATGCTCTGGCAGTCTCTTCTGATTTGCCTTCCTTTCATAATTTGTGAATTTACAATGACAATGCTCATGAATAAAAGATTTGTTTCATTTAGTAGTGGGATGCCCTTTCTGTTTCCATGGAAGCATTAGTTAACTGCTATAAGTTACTCAGATGTCCAGGAGCAGTGCATCAGGGTGCCTGTGAGCTGTTTGCATGGTTCTGATAGAAGTGACTTGTCAGCTGAATCCAGGTTTCTTGTGGGGTTTTTCTGCCCTGTTCACACTGCCAGACACAGTATAGGTAAGTTTTTGTTTAAACTGGACAGCACTACACAGGGAAGGCAGGGAAGGCAGGGCTGGGCAGCATCACAGCTGTAGGAAAGGCTGGGGAGCATATGCCTTATTTTGACAAATAAAAAGGAAATAGGTTAAGGTGTTCTCTTGTTTCTGAAAATCGTATTTCATTTAATCTTTGTCATTAACAGATTCTTGATTAGCTACCTCTTAAAATACAACGCTAACTTATTGCAGTATTGGACACTTGCACGTGGAGGAAAAATGTGCTTAAAGGCATCATGGGTCCTGGTCAACATTTTTCAAGTGTTAGATAATGCAGCTGTGGTTTACTTTAAACATTCCTCCACAGTGTTGGAAACTGTCATGCCAGAACACTGTTTTTATGCAAAACAGAAAACAACACTGGCCGTGACTAGGACAGGAAACGCTACCCAGTCGTGTTCCTTGCCTTCTGTTGCATTGCTTCAAGGCCATGTTGTGGAGCAGTTTATACATTTGGTTTAAAGACATTACTGAGTTTTAGTCATAGCCAAATACAACTTTTGGTTTTTTACTTGTAGCGGGATTGATATGTACAGAGAGCTGAGTCAAAGCATTTAACTGGTTTTTCAAGACTAAACCTATCAAGATAGATATTTAACTAATGACTTCTCCCCCTCTGTTATGGAATTATTTCCACAAGTCAAAATGTTTCTTCTGGGATTACCAGTCGTACTGTCTGCCCTCACTGCTTTCAACAGTAATGATTAAGTGATACTGGAACTTACACAATACTGGCTTCTAGACACTTGCAGTTTTAGTTCCTTAGCAACTGAAGAAGACTGGCTTAACCTTTTTTTTTTTTTT